AAATTCCGTTGAGTGAAACATCATCCACTTTGACAACTATTAATACCCCTTTTGGTTTGTGCAGATACAAGTTTCTGCCATTCGGTTTATCCGTTTCTCCTGCCATATTTCAACNGTCGGATGGCAAGACCCCGAGCATATGTGGTGACCACCGAATCACCTTAAATTCAAGACTGGTAAAGCGGACATGTACAACGGTTGAACCAGAGGACATCCTGAATAAGTTGACTGGTTCTAAGATATTTTCCAAGATTGACTTAAAAGATGCATATTTACAAATTCCGTTGGATGAAACATCATCCACTTTGACAACTATTAATACCCCTTTTGGTTTGTACAGATACAAGTTTCTGCCATTCGGTTTATCCGTTTCTCCTGCCATATTTCAACAATTTATGAACGATATCACTGGTGGTATGTCTGGTGTTGAAGTATATCAAGATGGCATTATTGTTCATGCTCCTGACAAGTCCACTCATGACGCACGATTGCTTGAACTCTTTCGTAGATTTTCTGATAAGTATGTTGCTGTTAATCCTAAGAAACGTTTATTTTCTCTCTCATTTTGAATGTATTGGATACTTATTTAATGGCAAGGGGTACAAACCTGACCCGAACCGTCTATTTCCTCTAACAAAAGCCAAATCACCGTCTAACATACACGAACTCAGATCACTGATTGGAGCCCTACAGTATTACTCTCGATTTATCCCTAATTTCAGTCAGAAGGCTTCACCCTTATTTCTTCTCTCTTCTTTTGACAAATTTGTCTGGACTGATGTTCATGAAGATGGATGCTGATATGTTCCAAAGCAAAGAGCTGCCCTAAATTCCACCACAAAGTTCGACAGTTGCCATCCAAGTGGGTTCCGTGTCCTGTTTCAACTGAGGCGTGGCAACGTGATCATGCGGATTATTGTGGTCCATTTCTCAATGGAATGTATGCTCTTGTTGTCATTGGTTCTTTCTCCAAGTGACCAGAGGTATTTTTCACTAAGTCATCTTAATCAGATTTTACTATTGATGCTTTGCGTAAAGTTTTCAGTTGGGAAGGTATTCCTGCTGTACTTGTTACTGATAATGGTAGTCACTTCTCCGCGAAAAGTGTTTTAAAATGACTGCATAACATTGGCTGCAAACATTTTTTTACTGCTCCTAGACATCCTTGCTCTAATGGACAAACGGAGAATTTTGTTGGAACACTTAAAGGTGCTATTACTGCTTTAAATCCATCCACATTTTCTGAACTTGAAAGAAGTGTTGATTTGTTTCTTTTACAATATCGTAATTTTGTTCATTCATCCACTAAAGAGACACCTGCTAAACTTTCAAAAGGTCGAAACCTGAGATCCAATTTATTGTGTATTAATTCTTCTGAAGTTGTATTTTTCCGTGGCAATGATCTAAGACCCTCCTCAGGAATTTTTCTAAAGTCTTTAGGTCGAAGAATGCTCCAACTACTTGACAAGGATGATTTGTCTATACACAGAAGACATGTGGACCGAATTCGCTTTGACAATCCAAGCCAGTCAGCTCCGATTCATGATGAAAATTCCGAGTCTAATAATGTTTCTTTAGATACTGGGCAACCTGATACGACTGATGAAAAAAATGTTGAACAACAAGCCGCTACGGAAGAATTACGTGTGAATGAACAAGTCCCACGAAGATCTGAACGACTGAGTGCAAAGCCCAGACTAAATTACAGAAATCCTGTGGTCAACTCCAGGTGAGGCGAGTGTGATGTGTGACACTGACCTCGAAATTCCTTGTACACTTTAAATGCATTGAATATGCATAGTATACGATTCGAATAAAGTTCGTGTGCTATTCCATTGGAGGTTGTTCTATTTCGGAGGTTGGTATTGCGCGAATTCTGGAATCCCATTTTGAATACTATTCCAAATACTACACAAGGATATGGATTACCTGTTTGTCTTCTTGCACTCAGCTGATCCGAATGATGCCAATTGTGATCACAGGGTTGGTCGGTTATTCCGCTTCTTGATTGGTTACCTAGAAGCTGTACCGTGGTGCGTGCGTATTCATTACACGATCACCACAGAAGTGTATCCTAACTGTGTATTTAGAGCGTCAGTGAGTGGCTAGGGACTGTGTGGCCTTTGGAAAAATGCAAATTGTACAAGAAGT